AGGCATACACAAATATAGTTGCATAGATTATCATACATAGCAGCATACAGTGGACCCTCGGGTAACGGCATTAATCCGTTCCAGATTAAATATAGATATACATACAGAAAACAATGACAAATATAAAGCACTAATAAAATGGGTAAATGAACATTTAACATCACACTTACCTTCATTGACACTTGTTGGTGTATGGAAGACAAGTAGGAGGCAAGAGGCAGGCGAGTTTATTATGCTTCAATATGACACTATCACAATTCATCTAATATGACATAATAAACAATATTAATAACACAGAAACATGATATATATTCTAGAATGAATAAAATATCATAATGTATGTGAGGAGTAAGTGGTGGTGGTGGTATTGGGTTTATAAAGGCCACTGAGAGAAGCTGTACATATTAGTGGTGGTGGAGGCGGCAGCAGAACCTACCACCACTATTCACACTTAAACAATGTATGTAATTTATAAATAAGAAATATTTACATTTTAATTTATAAATAAGTAAGTAAGTTTATTCAGGTATACACAAATACAGTTATATACATACATTATCATACATAGCAGCATATGTGTAAAGTACCTAGGATAACCAAAAAAAGTCAGAGTGATTTACATATTTCCATTGGGGTCCTTTTATATTTACACACATTTACTTTTATACTTACACTTTTATATTTACACTTACCTTGGAGGAGATGTTAGTTTAATTAGTTAGTTTGATGGAGGAGATGCAGGCAGAGGTTTAGGGTGGTGGAAGATAGCAGGGTGGCGTTATGTTCATTGGCCCGATACATATCCAACAACATTGGAGAGTTACTTTCGTGTCGTTTTTCTATCGCTTACTTGCTAAACTTACTTGCTACACTGTTAATTCTACACTTTATCACTGGCTGGCACTAGTCTTTATCGATACCTGCTGCTTTAGTATCGTACATATCGTTGAATCACTGCAGAAGGCACATTCTCCCCTCTCTCTTCCTCCTCCACTTTGGTACTTTGCTACGAGTTTTTTCTTGAATTTTGTTGTGCTTCTTTACCACAGGGCTGGCACTGGAAGCTTTCTTTGGGCCCATGGTGGCTTATTTAGCAGTTACAAGCACTAAATACAATGGAATAATACAAAATATATCACATGTATGTGTGGAATCGTCCTCCGTGGCTTGTAAACAATGGCACACTGGCTTTACATGGGCTCAGGCCGCGTGGACACGTTCGGGATGAATGTCCTTAACCCTTTGACTGTTTCAGGCCCCTCTCTGAAACTGTCATTCTATGTCGCTCAATTTTTGAAAAAAAAAAAAAAAATTTTTTCTTATGAAATGATAGAGAATCTTTTCCCGATGGTAATGACACCAAAAGTTCGAAATTTGGTCGAAAACTCATGGAATTATGCTCCCACAAAGTTAGCGGTCTCGGCGACATATGCGTATCGGCGATTTCGCCGACTTTGAGTCCTATTTTCAGCCAATTCCATTGTTCCAGTTGACCAAACTCATAGCTTTTTCTTTAGAACTCCATTTTATCTATCAGCTGAGTACAAGAAACCTCCCATTTACTAATTTGGACTACCCAATATGGTGGTCAGAAATTGGCAATTTGGCCAATTTCACGCAAACTAAAAAAGATGTCAATTTCAAAATAGGGTCCAGAATAAACAAGGTAGACATTCGTGGCACTAAAATAACATATGCTCTGTTCATTAGTCACATCTCTAGGCCCCTCTTATATTATTATTGCTTTCTATTTTGATTTTTTATTCATACAAAAAAATACAAAATTTACTGTTATGCAGACTACTGCATTATTGTAAAAATGGTATAAATAATATCAGTGCACTAGTAAAAGAATATTAGACTCCTCAGTTGATGTGTATTGGACGTGTGGTGTGATTTATTTACTCCTGAACATTGGTAAAAATCGAACATTTCCGCTGCTTTGAGCTCAGTTTCAAAGTCGTTTTCATCGTCAAAGTAATGAAAATCATCTCTATTTCTGTAATATGTTTTCAATTTTATCACCTAAGACCATGAAAACGCGAATACAACGATAAATACTATACGAAAATACACCTCAAAGTCGGCGTTTTATTCCAAAAAAACGATCAGTTTTTTTTTTCTCATTACGCAATGTGTGCTGCAGGATTTTTTTTATGTGGTGCACACTGACCACACAGACCCATTCTCTCACATGTGGGCCTACCAGCTTTCTCCCGCTTGATTTGAAGCCGCTAGAATTATTGAGTATATATATGTCAGAAACATTGGCTCGTAAGACGTATTTATACATCGAAAACAGTCGAAGGGTTAACTGAGTTCGTGGGTGTTAGCCGAGCCAATATTTTGACACAAAAACGTGCTGCTATCTGATTTTGGCGTTAGCCGATGCCGCCGTTACCCGAGGGTCCACTGTATATGTAGAGAACCTAGGATAACCCAAAAAAGTCAGTGACTTATTTCCATTGGGGTTCATACGTTTATATTACTATACCATAATACAAACACTACATTGTGTTAGAGTTGTCTCCACATTGATACAGTAGAATAAATAAAGAGCAACACTTCCATTCTCATGCAACACCATTCTTAGAAGAAATGACGCTCTGAGTGAAGGCATATGAAAGGAATAATTTTCTCGTTACCCCAGTAATATTATAGTGTACACATTGTCTCTGATGTTGGACTAGAGAAAACGTTATTCAGGAGGGCTCCACATATACAGCACCTTCTATTGGGTGTTCCACATTTTGTTGGCTTCAAATTGAGCCATTGTTCATTATGTTCCACCTGTTGGCAAAAATCGCCAGCAGGTTGAACAATGGCTCAACTGAAAGCCAATGAAAATATGGAACACTGAAAAGAGGTGCTGTATATGCAGGGCCCTCCTGTATTAGAAAGGACTTCAGTATTATTTGTAATTTAAGGGTAATTTGATTATTAAACCTTTAAGTGTCTTATATAGGTCTACATCTAAATCTTAGCACACTCAGATATGCTGTGATTGGTATATTTTGGCCTAGCCATGAGAGAATGAATCTGTCAGGAGGGTGTGAGCAGTATCAAAAAAAAAAAAAAAATAATCCTGCCCCCTCATGCAGTGCATGATAAACACAGCAAACCTCTGACCCCGTGTTTTGGTTAAAATAGCAACTTTGAGATGTTTTCTCAGATGTTTATGATTTTATTGGCTGTTTCCCAGTGCCAGTAAAAATTAGATGATTTTGTTTCGTTTCATACTGAAAGTGGTCTGAAATAAACCACGAAGTAGAGGAAATGTTTGATTTTGGGTAATTTTCCTATGGAAGGTTGGGTTCCCACAGCCCCTCTTCTAGTCCATTTTATGGAATTTTTACATGGTTTGATTTTATTATTTGGACAGCCTAAATCATGTATATTTTACTAGCCAAGAAATAGTGTAAGACTTAATTCATTTTTTTTTGCGATTCAAAATGAATGGCAGGTGTTATATAGTAAAGACCTGGGAACATGACTAGTGAACAGAGGAAAGGTTGCTTTAGTGGCTGCAAGTTTGTGTAAAATTAGCCAAATTACAAACTTTGGGAAATTTGTAGAGTAGCTCTGATGGTTGAATGAACAGTTTCTTATGCTCAGTTGATTGAATAGAAGGCATACTAGAGAAATAGTAAGGATTGGGTCAGTTTAAGTAATTTAATTGGACTTAAATAGGCCTCAAAGTGGGAGAAATCACTACTTCATAAATTGCTCTCAGACTGCCAACTTCACACCTATGTAATTTCATAAGTTTTCCATCAGATTTCTTATTTTTGGTGTCATTACATTCAGAAAAAGATTTTCTACCATTTCAAAAGATGAAACTATTTTTTAACAGCGGTGCTATGAACACTTAATTTTGAGGGTCGTGATATGTTAGCAATAAATCATTCTCTGTGAAATTGCTCTGATGCTAAAGGCAATAAAATTTCAGACCATGTTACACAACCAGGGATCATCCATTCTTGCATTGATTTGTGCAATTTTCCTACTTCTATATTTTCTTGCTCTGTTCCAATGCTTAGAAATTTTTACTCAGCTGCATTCTCTTAAGTCAGTTACAATAAACTCTCCATGGGCTCACAGTTGAAGGACCTGGGCTTAATCCTGAGTGATTAGTGACACATGGGAATGATTCCTTTCACCTACTGTCCCTCTTCACCTTGGACTAAATAGGTACCTGGGTATCAAGAGACTTGTGTAATGTATCCTTGGATATGATAGATTAAACTAAGCTTTAAAATTAGGTGAGGTAGGATAATAGCTCATAGCTTGTAAATTCAACAGTTAAAAAAAAATTTCAAAATGCATTGGTTACATGAAACTCAAACTTGGTCCTCTCTTGATGACCATGTCTGCATAGATTGCTGGGTTGCACTTTTGATAGATTAGTCAATTTATCAGCAATCTTGCCATTTGTATTTCCAATCGCTTCTTTGATGTCCTTTGTAGTTAGCCTGCTGTCATTTCAGAAAGTTTCACCTTGGAAGCAAGATTTATTTTTGACATCTATAATTGGTCTTTTGAATTG